CCACTGCGTATATGATTTAATTGTGCCTGTACCGGAACCATACTGCCTTTATCATGGTCGGGATCAATCACCTTTAGAAGATGGGACTGTCACAGGGTCCTGCAGTGGGAGAACATTATGGCATTGCGTCAAGACAACAATTTATTGATGAACTCAACCTATTCCGAATACTCTACCAGATTAGTTAGGATACTTTTCAGCCTAAGGCCCTATATTTGGTACACGTTATCTGATCTAACCACATCCGGTTTCATCTCATCTGATCTCATAATCTCTTTTCTTTGAGTGTAGCAAGTTCACAGACCTCTGGCAGGAGAATTCCGGCAAGAAGCGTTAATTTATCTCGCCCTGACTACACAAATAAGTTTCGAAAACAAGGCCAAATTGCTTCTATGCTAAGCTTGCACTTGAAGATCTGAAATGTCAGACGATTTGAGCCGCAGTCGAGGTGGAGCTGAACCGGCCTCGTCTCTTTTATGGTTGGGCCGGAGCAAAAAATGGGAGCAGCGTGGAAGAGAGCCTTCAGATCTCGAGTGCTGTGCGTTGAGGTGAACCCTCTTCATCTGGACCCGGCAAGCAAGCACGCAAAGCCTGTATCATTTCTCCAAAAGAGCTCAGGACAAAGCAATAAACTCCGTAAAAGTACTCTCTCATGATCCACTCGAAGCCATGCTCCGACTCAGCCTCTATGAAGTATTCATCGGTCAATAAAACAAGTCTCCGAGACAACTGTATCGATTGCATAGATTTGCATTTTCTCGTCTTTATGTCGATAGGAGGACAGGCATGCGAACAGTCTTGATCAAGCTACAGCAGGTTGGGGAGCAGCCGATTGCGTCGAAAAAGGGATGTGATCTCTTTGCATGCATTTTTGAGCCCGCCAAACACAAGAGGCTGGCAACTATTGGGGTGACGCCATCATGTCGAGCGAATTATACTCGAATTTTAGTTTTGACATGTTCACATGCCTGTTGGCAATGGGTTTTATCTGTCAAGACTCTGACCGAGGGTGCCTATCGCAATAGCTCCCGCCCTGTACGGTGGTGGCCCTCACTTTCACGAGACCCTTCGATGAGGTGCTGCCAGCCGCGAGTTTCGTAACTTTCTGATTTTCATGGGGATAAGGCCGGGTTTCGTCACTTTGCTGTCCAGCACATCTTCAGACTCCAGAGTGCCGAATTCTAGATGATTCAAGATTTGTCCAGAAGCAAATCCGCCGCCCATTCGACGAGACAAAGGGCTGGAAACGAATCCACCTCGAATTAAAGAGCAAGAGTTTATTGCGTGATGCTGCGAAGTGAAAACGTTCCATTAGCTTGGATACGAAACTAAAAGCTCTTGCCTCCAGTAAGGGTATTCGCAAGTAATCCTGCCACAATTAAAGGAAACATACTTAATTAAATATTTTTTTAGTATTCATAAAATATTAAAATGAACTTAACAATGTGCTTGACTCTGCTTTGGTTTGAAGTTGTTGCTAGAGTGAGGCTTATCTACTTAGACGTAAGTCTGTAGGACTGTATCAACCTTGAAATCCAACTAAGATCACACAACAGCAGAACGATTTGCGATTCGTAGTCGGAGTTCTTTGTCATCGAAAGCCATTATATTTGTTTTGATGCTAACAAAACTTGGGCAAAACTAGCTTATTTTACGTATTTAAGTAGAGTTTCGAGACTACCAATAAATCAGTAATATGAGATGTATTCACTCTATTTCGTTTAAGGTGATAAAGGACTAATAGTAGAATTTTCACACAATGATATTATTAGAGCTGACGTCACCAATGAATTTCACATTGCCTTGCTTTCCCAAAAGTTGTTCTCATCCAGGGGGAACTGCAGTTTCGATCTGGCATACGTCTTATCAACACCGCCGGCGGGAGTCGAACCATGACAGGGCAGTATGTGAGCTTGACACGTTAC